AAATTAAACGTGTCAACTACAATTCACTAATACTGAATTTGTTTTGCTTGAACTACCACGTCATGGGTGTAGATGTGCGTTTCAACTGGTGACGAAAAACATTAGTCACGAGCTCCATTCTCAGAGAAACCCCAACCACAATCAGACTTAAACCAACGTAACCTGATTTAAAACAAAAAAACATTAAGCGTCATATTATCTAAACCTTAGAGATCATTCGTATTAATGAACTGCTAACAAGACTGGCTCGTCAAGGTAGTTAAATGTGCATTAATGTTACCGTCAACATGTCAACCCCCGAGCCTATGTAAAGTTATACCTAAATCCCAGATTAAGGATTTAAGTAGCTAGTTAGTGTCAGTGCTAGCTAACACGATATCAAGTTAACTAGCTGACAGTTGCCAACGACACACTACAGTTCATGCTAGCTGCCGTCATGCTGGCTAACGTTGATCAGCCATAAAAATGTGCTGAGATCGAGACAAACTACAGTCATTTTAACTATTAGAAATAATAAGATAACGCCGAGTGTTTAGCATGTGTATGTGCCCCTTAGTATTAGTGGGATCTTCAGCTGTAAAATCACTGTAGCATGGATTACTAGCTCCGAACACCTAGCTAGTTAGCAAACTTGCTAAAAACTTTGACTGTGGTGTGTGCGACTGTGACACGTAGCTCCTCGGCTAATAGGTAGCTTGGCTCACTCAAACAGACCTACACACAACTTCAAGCTGTACCCTAGCCAGCTAATGACATTAAGCTAGTGGGCTGAAAACTAAAACCTTGGAATAACTCCGCCGTACTCATAGACAGCGGTCGTGGCGTTTTTCTGTATATTAGCCAACACTAACAGGCTTGTAAAAAAAAAAGTACAAGTTGAACTGTAGCCTTAGCTAGCGGGCTAATGTTAGCTTACATTACAGTTTGTTCTACTAGCTCGCTAAGTCCACGTAGGCATACAGCTGAGCAGGGGAGAAATGACACGGAGTCAGGCCAGAACATACTGTAACGTTCAAGGTTCACCGACAAACTGTCCCCCCAACAAGTACCACTCTGTCATGTACGTGAAATGCAGAAGTCGTATGCTATGGGAATATAGTCCCGATCAGTAGGAAACAGTAAAGTACTTACTTATTTTATGTTCTCGTCTGCCCTGAAGGTGCAGAAGCTGAGATGAAATTCCACTGGCGAGAAGGTGGGATTGAAGCCTGACGGATATATACCAGGGCCGCCCACCAATCATATCCTCCAACGTCACGTCAAAGAGTCCGATTACAAATAACTTATTTTCATTTCCGAGAGTGACAGACACTTCTATAAGTTGTTAAGTTTTATTGCCTTGCGTATGAAAAACATTTCAGATGTAAAAAAAAACGTGATTAATGTTGTATACACTAGACACTTATTGAGTCTTCTAAAATCACATCTAGAGGAAAATATGCATGTACAAAAACAATACCAACTATGGTGGCAAAATTCAGGTTTAATTTATTATTAATCACATCAATATGGGATAATGTCTCAGTGTGTTTGCAGGCTTTTGTGAGATTTGATAAAGGATGAGTCCATGCCACCTCTCCTCCAATGCAATCCACTATAAGGTTATGAATCAAGTCATGAATACCAGAGAACAAAATACACATGCCAAACAATCCTGCAGCAATAAATACTGTCTCTCTACAACAACCTCAGAGAGGATAGAGTCTCACATGTTAGCCACTCCTCAGCTGGTTGTTAATAGATACACAGCACAAGGTCGTGGGGGTCCACAGTTTACTGTGAGGGAGCTGCTAAAAAATAAAGACAAGTAAATATTTTCTAAAGAAATTTGTCAGTGAATTTATGACTCAGCAGCTCGGCTGCTTGACAGGAAACACAGTGATTCTTTTGAAGCTGTGATTTCCTTCATCTACAGTGATTGCCAATAACATGGCAACCTTTTGAACACTTCGTGATAGTTTGCAAGGCGAGTGCTTGTGCATGAAATGTGTCAATAATATCAGAGTTTTTACAGGCCACTGAAAATGCATTGAAATGACCTTTTTTCATTTAATTCAACTGCACGCATTAAATGTATTGCACCAGATTTAACCAAACTTTTGCGGCTGCAGGTTGCAGCATCACAGTTCTCTTGATCAGGATGCAAATATGAAGCAACTGATTATGACTCAGCTACTTCTGCAAACAAAAGTAAGTTGCAAAGATCCATCATTCTTATCTCCTAATATTACAATCACAGATTATTGGCCAGTACTGAGAACAGCGATCTTGTTAACCATGCTGTATGGAACTGATTGTTACAGCATATGTATCATAACACTAGGCTGTAACAACACATCACAGATGTCCATACATTCCTACACTTTAAGCTTCTTCAAATTTTATTTATTTTTTAAACAAAATTAATTTAAATTAATTTGGTAGTTTCAACTTAATTTTTTTCCCAGAGCTTGTCAGATGCATTTTCATCACCGGATGGACTTGGATCTGTTTCAAAGCTGATGAGAACCATGAGATAAGGCAGCTGAAAAAATCAAGTAAGGACCTAGATAGGAATATTTTGTCAAATCAAGAATAAACTTTCAAACTCAAATTTATTCATTTTTATTCTGTAAGTATTTTAATTTTGTTACGATTCTATGATGATACTCGATAACAACATATATTAAGACACATTAATGTGGATTGGTCACTTCTGTCCATCACCTTAATCTGTTTAATAAATCCAGTATCTGTCCCATTATATGGGATTAATAGATCCATAGAAATAAGGATACACAAGATAGACTATACTATTTTGTCTGTGACTATGTGTGGCTCGTAGTCATAGGATTTTCATTCAGTGGATATAGATATATATTATTGCTGACTATGTAATTCCCAATGAAAAATGTTGTACTTTACATATTTCTACTGAATCTGGCAGAGTTTATCAAAGCCCTCCAGATCTGCAAAGTCTGTGGCCTATTAGAAAACACCTCAAATATTTGAAGCTGCTTCTTTCATCCTCCTCCTGGCTGAAACAGCAGGTGCCCGGTCTTTGAATCATGAAGATCAGCAAGAGATAGCTCAGGAGAGGCATAGTTTTTAAAAAACGGTTTTCGTTTTTTAACCAAAGGTTATAAGGGGGCAACAGTACAGTGAAACTGGAGAGAGAGATACAGGCTATAGAAAGATGTAGGCTGCAGTGAGTGAACAGAATACTCCAACCTTTTAACTCCTATTATGATCAATTTTTAAAAGCTGTGTCAGAGAGGTGGTCTATTCCTTCATTATACAGTTACTATCATATTCATACTGTAACAGCTCAATCTACACACAGCCGAAAAACCACCACCACCCCGAAACAACATTGACATCACACCTGAATCCACACAAATAAAAGGACCGTGTGGGAACACAGAAGTCCAGACTCCACGGTTCCTCTCTACATTCAGGGACCAGACAAAATGACAACCATGACAAAGTAACTAAAACAATGAATTAAAATCCTCTGATTTACCATTGTGTTGCATTGTATTACATTTTTATAGGATAATGGTATTGTATCATATGAACATATCACATAGTAGAGAATTAACTTATAAATATTGAGATGTGAGGTCTGTTTCACCTTATGGTTTAGCTTTTCTTAGACGATACAATACAAAAATATGACATATGGCTAAAAAAAGGAATATCACCTATATATATATTAATGTACAATATGTCTCTCGTCAATATTTATTACTTAATAATATTCCAAAAATGTTCAAATGTTTGTATTATAATGTCTATATTTTAGGATTGAATAAAGAAGTTGATGTACTAAAACTTGTTTTTATTGAAATTTTAATTTAAACAAAGCATTCCTTCCCTAAAAACATTTTTTCTTCCTTTACATTCGTGTAACAGAAAGCATATCTTGGATAATGAGATTTTCAAATATTTTGCAAAACAAAAATTACCTGAAATGCTCTATTATTCTTGTATACATACCTGTTAAGTAATATATAGTCACATTTCCGTAATGCTTAAAATCCCATAAGACAGATTCCTATGTTGAATTTTTTCACAAAACAAAATATGTCAGATACATGTATGCCTACACAAACATTATCATAAAACACATATTTTTGCTACCTGTTAGCACACATACAGTAGATATAATATTTATTATAAACCGATATTTGATTATGTATATTTACAACAATACAATTTCCATATGGGATCAATCTAAGCATTTTGAAATTTAACTTTGGTCTTTATTGTGAAGAAAACAGTAGGGGGAGCTCCTTTACAATACCACAGGCAGCTTTTTTCTTTCCTCGTGATATTAGTTCTGTTCGACTCTTATTATTCAAATGCTGCTGCAAAACAAAGTGACAAAAGTGCAAACAACCCATCACATATCATCACTTTTGATGTAATTAAGCTGCAGCCTGCAGCGCTGATATGTATAGTATCCTGACGCGCGCGCACACACACACGCACGCACGCACACACACACACGCACACACAATATTACCAAATGTGTGTTTGTAAAAGAAAAAGAAATTGTGTTATTTTTGAAGTTACAGCGAAAATCCACATGTATTTCATGTCATCTACGGGTCCATCTTTGGCCCAAACTTAAATCAAGTCTGTTTTGCTTTTGTGGGTCATATCAAATAAAACTCATCAGATAAAACAATCATTTTATTTCATCAGGGTGTTGACAACCATCGGCCTGTGGATTAAACACACGTCGCCTCGAGGACACTGATAACTCACAGAACTTTCCACGAGGCCTTATTAAAACGCCACAACGTGTATTTTCTTTTTTCTTTTTCTTTTTTTTTTTTCACAGGCGGACAAGTTTATTCTCCATCCATCAAAGCTATTTAAAGTAAAGGAAGGTAAATCTTCGCTCCCCAGCCTGCAATCCTCAGACACATTTGAACCAATAGCCGGACGAATAGGACTGCTGCAGCCAATGACAAAGTAGTCTGAGTGCGCACTCCTTCGGGCGACGACGGCGACGACGACGACGACCATGGACTGGAGTAGTGTCCTTTTCTTTTCGGTGTTGCAAACTTTTACCATTTAGTTTCCACACGGACAAAACGGTAAGTTTAACGCTACTTAATGGACACATTATCATATTCACATATTCCGGCGTGGCGACTTTTTCGGAGAGAAAACTCGGTTGAAGGTTTTTATTACTTAGGTTCGCCTCTCGTCGGTAAACGGAGCCCCCTCTCTCTCTCTCTCTTTCTCTCTCTCTCTCTCTCTCTCTCGCTCCCCCCCCCCTCTCTCTCTCAAAAAGAAAGTAAACTTTACCTTAAACATTGTTAACATTGTTCGAGGTGTATTTGAATTCGGTTCGGTTTGTTTTTCTCGTTTGAAGAAGTTGGTTTCAGTGCAACATTCAAGTCTACTGACCCAGTGAGGCCCACATGCAACCTACGCTAATAAACGCAAATCTGCACGCCGTCACTCCGTATTGTATTTTTAGGTCGGCTTTAGGTAAGGCTTTAAATTATATTACTGTTGAATGCTACATACAACAACATGAGCCGTCGGTCTCAGCTGTGACAACTCGACGGTGTGCTGCGTATTATGAATGAGCCTCACATGTCCATATACAGCCTCAGATAGTCGGGACTAGTTTTTGGCATGAAACACGCAAAAACTATGTGAGAGCAGTCATCACCTGGAGTCAGCTGTAACTCCCAAGTTTCATGACGGCTTTACTCCGCCTCAGACTAAATATGACGTTATTTTTAACCACAAATGTTTCATCAAGTTTTGCAATAAAAAAAAAAGAATGTCCCCCTTTAACTTTGATGTTGATTTTATGTTGTCCTCTCTTGTGTTTTTGCAGGAGTGAGGTGGGGAGGAGCTGCTCTGAGCAGTAATGGGGGAGATAGAGGGTTCATACCGGGTCCTGCAGACCCCTGGCACAAGGCTGGGAGCCCAGTTCAATGCTGGTATCAGCACGTTGGAGCCGGGCCAGAGCCTCAGTGGCAACATGGTCAGCGGGAGCAAAAGCCATGGGCGAGGACTACAAATCCGTGTGCAAGGGTTGGACGACTCCCAGGAGTTCTTTGACATAGACGTGAGTGTCTCCTGAACTGTTGCGCAGCCTCGTTGTGTTTCCTACATCCTCTTTTATTTACACTGCCGATAAGTCTGCAGCATGGTACACAGCGGGCGATATCTTACCTTACAGTCCTGGGTTATCCTGCTTGCGTGTGGCTTGGGCTGGTGACAGCTGCCACATGGCTTTGGTGCTGAAACCTCCTTAAGTCCACTTATTCGGGCAACTTAGTGTGACTCACCAGGGTACTTCTTTATTTCTCTGCTGTGATTTCTGCCTTAGTAATAATAGTACAAGTAGTAGTAGTAGTAGTAGTAGTAGTAGTAGTTTTGGTTCCTGTTCCAAAGGGTGACCAACATAAGACCATCCAGGACTCAAGCGTGTAAATGTGTTCACATTTATGATTCGATTAACCAAAGTTGTTGTGAAACTGTGTGTCCTCATGCTTTGTTTTAGAGTTTGAATTAATCAACCTGTGTATTCCTCAGTGTCTTAAACTGAGGATGCAAACATGGACAAATTACAGTGGGCTTGGCCTTGCTTTGATGGACTTTGCTTTTTAATAATCAGCACCAGGATTTATATTTTCCACCCTCACTTGATCTGGGATGATTCGTCTTTCTTTATTTGGCCGACAGGACAGGATTGACAAAACTTTTTAGGCTTTCTATTTCCCGTCATCTCTGCTGCCTAGTTCTGAAATGACAGAGTAACATGCGGTGCTAAATTAATCCTCTGAAATGTGAAACATGAGTAATTATACAGCCAAGCTCTGTTGTTTCTTTTCATTGTAATTACTTTTATAGGGAAGTTAATCTCTTTCAAAGATTGGCAGTTGGCTTGAAAAAACTTTCAGATCCGCACTGTGACAGTGCTTTCCCATGTTTACTTGCCAAGTTGCTGCAGGAGTCATTGAGAAGGCGAATAGGAAGCAATAAGGAAGCCACTATATCAGAGCAAGTTTCCTGCTTTTTCTGTGAGGGGGGGGTGGTGGTATCAAACTGATCAAAGAAGACTCTCCACAGTGAATAAACAACCAAGTCATTGTGCAGTTGATGGAGGAGTTTTAATTTGCAGTGTAGTGTAACTGTAACTGGCGGCTACTAATTGTGTTACAAACACAAACCTAGTGTATGTATCTTGTGCAGCTACTCTGTCCTAAATCCTTGTGTAGCCACAACAATAACAGTTCTGGCAGATGTAGTTTGGGGGCACTGCTGAGACAGACATTTCATAATCTTATGCACCATATGTTGTCTCAGACTGTTAGGCTAACAGAGTGGGACAGACACTTTGTGTTTTAATTTGTATGGAAGTGGGTCCGAGCACTGCTCAGTGTAAGGGGGGGGGGGGGCATTTGAGATTTTAGGACGATATTCAGCCCCGTGTATTGAGAGACGACTGGACTTTTCCTCGTGGGAGATCAAAGTGAGCTCTGGACGTGGTGTTGATAGGAGGTGGCAGACAGAAATACATGGCTGCAAAAAGGGGAATGACGGCAATCCTGTTGTCAAGCAGACTGCAGTTTGCCGAGAACAAGATGTCCTCTGAGAGGCTCTTGTTGTCCACCGCTGCCCGACGTCGCTTTAATATTTCTGTTCATTCAGTTTTGAGGAGCCGTGGGCCGGTGGGAGAATAGTATTTATGAGAGGGTAGAGAATGGCTGCAGAGCCATACATCCACTACACAACTCTGGCTTAGTTTCCACTGCCAGTTTGCTATATCATTCTTGGTTTTTATGTCTGCTTCACCACAATCTCTTTAAATAAAAATGAATGAAGTGGCATAACTTTCCCCTGTGTTGGAACTGTAGTTTTTCCCTCGTGAATTCTGCATGTAAAAATAGGTCCAAAATTGCAGTGTTGAATGTCCGAAATGGTTGTGGCCTTCAAGCGACTGCCTCTCCTCATTGTGGCATTTTGGTTGCTCAGCTGCCCAAATATCTTACACATTTGTTGTACAGTCTTCATCGCATGCTATTTCCTGCCACTCTCACTGTACTTTTGGGCGGTGAAAAACATAAACACTCTCATGTCAAACGTGTTTTTAAAAATTTTTTACTTGTGCTCTCTCATACGCACTGTAATCTGTGAAGAACTATAGATTTGATTTATTATGAAATTGATAATCTGTGCAAACAAATGCTGCAATAGAATACATGGATTTATGGCCTTTTTTATAGTGTCTGTCGTCTGCAACCTGCAACAGACAAATCAGATCAGAGCGTGTGTGTGCTTTGATCTGTTGGCCTTTATCTGCTGCAGGTACCCAGCATGGTCATCATCAGCAGACATTTGCTTGCATGGCTCTTATCCATAGGCCCCTCCCACAGCCAGCACAGGAGAAAGCTCAGCCTTGTGGTTTCTGGACAGGGAGGCAGGGCCAGGAGCGCAGGGAAACACAGGCTTCTTTTATCCGGCGCAGCCAATCCCTTCGCTGGCCTTAACTTCCAGCTCGAAACTCGCAAAAAAGGCTGAGGGTGGTATGTGGGGACCTAGCTGTGTGAAATTGCAGTACAGTTGGAGGGGGGGGGGGTTATTGGTGGGAGGGAATCCGGGGCCGGCTTTGCTTTAGTGTTAGCAAACAAGCACATAAATAGCAAGGCTGACAACCAAGTGGGTTTGGGGGAGACATAGGGGCAGCCGCTGGTGTTGAAAGAGCAGTTCAGAGGGAGCAGTCAGGGCAGTACAAAGTTTGAGCCGGGGAGGTGGGGGAAGGGACACACTCAGGAGTGAAGCCCTGTTCAAAGTTTGGCCGAGGAATTTCAAGCAGCGGCCTGTTGCATAAAATCACATTTAGATCTTTGTCAGAACCAGATGCGTTTACTTTTCACCTGTTCTTACATGGATGGACGTCGGTGAGGTGTAAACAGTGTGAAAAGCAAGACGCAGTTTGTTTTTTAAAAGTCGTTTTTTTTAATGTCGTCCTGAGCACCTTGCAAGAACTTGAGATTAAGCAGTGGTAGACTGGTTCAGTTTGATTATGTTTGTCACGGACAGAGCAGAACTTGCGCGTGTGTTTGATGTGTATGCTCAAAAAAGGAGCACTCTCGGGCTCTTCATTACAACCACTACAGCTGAGCACTCGGCTCTCGTCCGTACAAAGCACTCACACTGTCCCACTGTGAGCTGAAGTAGCTAAACAATCTAATGGCTGTGAATGGAAGGACTTGTTTAACATCTCAAACAGCCCCTCGCTCTGCACATCACGAATCTCTCCTGTTTTACCGCTGGGAATGACCGTCCGTCACTCGCTGGGGTCCCACCTCTCTCAAGTTTTTATTTTCTAGTGTTTTGAAAGCCGCGCTGAGGCTGCGAAGTATCTGGGTTACGCAGGTGACTTGAGCAGAAGGTGCACTGAAAAACCTGATCCTGATTACACACTGAGTAGTGTTTATCTGAACAACTTGCCCACAGGTGTGTCCCAAAAGCCGGATTGGTGAGAAGAAATCAGCAGCAATTATTTAAATGAAAGTTGCCATTTAGATAATAATTCCTTCAAAGAACCTGTTGAACTTTGAAACGTCTCCTCACAGACCTGTGAAAGTGGCCCGCTGGTGTGCAGAGCTTTTGTAAATGTATGTCAGCAGGAGGAAAAAGCTCCCGGTGGCAAAGCCTAAACAATGTACATCCCACTGTGCCAAATGCAAGCCCCAACACACCCCTGCTGTCAGGAGGAGGTTCTTCTAGAGCTCACTGCCATTCACTGGAGGCTGGGGAGTTTCAACTGCTGTGTGATAAAAACCGTGCTTAACCTGTCATGCAAGGTACACCCAAGCCCAGACTTTGAATGAGGCTGGATGATATCTGGGTTACACCTGTGGGTTTTTCTTTTTCTTTTTTGTCTGTTTTCTTATTCATTCTCTGTGCATGAGAAGAGCAGTCCTCCCACATTGCTGGCTGCTTTTCAAACTCAGTACTCATATGCCCCCCCCCCCCCAACACAGGGGAAGATTTGCCTCCCACAGAAACATCTGTTTGTCATAATCCCTGCTGCTTTCGGAGCTTGATTGGGTGACCCACTGACCTGCCTTAACGTTGGAGCTCAGAAATGAGACCGTGCTCCACGCACCGCAAAGTCGGGTGTGAACACACTGACCGTGATCTCGCTGTCACATCACAGGCTTTATTTTAAGCGGAAGCCCGCGCTGATTCGCGACACTTTTATTTTGCATGGCAGATTCAGATAAGTCATGGTTGTAGACGAGCTGGGGGGGTGTTGAGCAAATAAAATAGCTGAATTGTTTTTTTGTTTTGTTTTTTTTTTATCCAGTAGTAATTTCACAATATTTTTTTGAAGAACTAAAAGATATTTACACCACCTCAAGAAAATAGAGAAATGACATGGCTTCACATTTCACTTTGCTGGAACACACTTTTCTGTAATGCAACATGTGAAGCTGCTATAAACAGTTATTTCCAATATCAGTTCATCAGTCTTTTTTGTTTTTTTTTTCAGTGAATAATCTTTTAGCCTATAAAATGTAAGAATTGTGAAAATGGTTCATCATGAAGTCCAAGGTACCATCCTTAAGTTGCTTGTTTTGTGCGACCACTTCAAGTCCAACTGAAATCGTGTATCTCAATCCTAATATCTGCCAAAATAATCACAATAGGATTATTGTAGTTAACTTATTTATTTATTTATTTTGCATATCGTGCAGCTGTAGTCACAGTGTTAGTATTATTGATATTATACCCATGGTTCTCTCAACACCGCTGTGAGGAAAGCGAGCACTTGGCAGATCATCGTCTACGCCTGCTCCGTCATTTTGTTGCTCTTGATTCAAGTTTTGCTCTCGTCCGTCGTCACATGGCTTTCTTTTTGCCCTGTTGTCACTTTTAATGACTGTTCTTGAATGAAGAGATGCCAAACATTTTATGAGGGTGGTATAAAGACTGTGCCCTCTGTGTTGTATGCAGTAACTGATTGCACACACAGATAACCCCCAGCAGTAAAAGGAAGTTATTTGAAGGGAAATTACCTGCACAGGTGTGCATTGTTGAGAAACTCCATGTAGAAATTATACTGGGTGCATTTTGTGTATTCACGCAGGAGGAGGTGAGGCAGATCGGCAGTGGTGTAACTCGTGCTCTGGGAGCAATTAGATCTCTGTCCATCCCTCCCTCTCTCAGACTCCTGACGATAAAGCTGAATGTCCCAGAGGAGGCTTTTACTCTCCCTCGAGAACCGGAGTGCTGTGAGTGCAGTTTCATGCATTCCTGCAGAGGGTTAATGACTGACACAAAGGAGGAGCTTCTGAAAGCACACACCAGTCAACACACAGCAGTTTGCTGTGTGTTGACTGGTGAAAAAGAAATCACTTAACAGTTTATTCTAATCTGCCATCAGTTCCAATCGACCTAATTCTGGGTTATAATTTTTCACATCTTGGTAAAATAACTTTTTTTTTATATATATACTCACATATAATGTAAATCTCATGGTTTAGTACTGATCAGGTTGATTATATCTATTTTATGTTGCAGTGTATCTTGAATCTTAAAAGCTGTTTACCCTCAATTAACACTGAATCACAACCGAAACAGTGTGAACCTTACAGGGGAAACTTGTTTGGACATGTTGTCTTTTATTTGACGGGGAAGATTTGGTTTTCGCTGAGAGGACTTTGTTTACATCGGTTCTGTCTGCTTACAGATTAGTGTATGATTTATATCCGCTCTTTGTTGAATCGGTTTTTCACTGAACGAGTCAAACCGAGACAGAATCCCTCAAACTGTTCCTTACATTTGGCCCCCGATGCATTTTGAATACTTACTGATGCTGTCTGAATAGTATGTTTGGCCTGCACTCAAAGACAACCCAGACAAAGTATTTTAACACACCAGTTTCTTTTTGGTTTTTTTTCTGCTCTGGCTGAGATCAGCTGTAATCGGACGCTGTAAATGTGCAGGGAAAAAAAAAAAGGGGGCATTTTACAACAGATTCCTTAATTTATGGATGTTGTGTCAGGAGGTTTCACCTGCAATTTATAGATTTTGTGAATGCAGAACATATGATTGTATCACAGTAATGAAAAGACTTAACTACAGTAAATCGCCGGGCGCTCTTTGAGTTGTAATGCTTTACTTTAGCAGTTCCTTTTTTATAAGCCTTTTAAAAATACTATTTTACATTACAACCAGATGTTTTGGGCTATAATTTTCTCAAAAAGTCACAGGCTAGGATTCCAAACCTCAAGTGCAGTGTGTTCTTAGTGCATAGTAATTAGTTCTTCATTTAGTGAAAACAAACCCCAGAGCGTTGAGAAGGTAAACTTCGGCAGATTTCCTGCTTGTGACTTTGCTGCACTCTGCTCAGCGACAGTGAGTGTACAGTAGGATGCATTTCTTGCAGTTTATTTATTTACCCAAGGAAACCGTTTCGAATCGACGGATGGAACATAGGCGGCCGTAAAACGCACAATGAAGTGGATCATTTACAGATGCCAAATATTTACTGCACCGCACAGACTGACCGTGTTTGCTCGGCGCTCACTCCGAAACACAAGCACGGCCTCGCCTTCCTCACCTCCGGTCCGAGTGAAAATCTGTGTTTGATAGTGATCTCTGTTAATCACCCGTGTTGTTTTTGTCAGCTGTAACGCAATTTCTCACACCGCCGAGATCGTGAGATGCATCGTCGCTGGTCTTTTGAGATCTTTGTGTTGACACGGTGATGAAAATAATGATTCCTTCCTCTCTTGTTGTTTTTCCTTCCAGCCAAAAGCTCTTGGACAGGCTCTCCTCTCTGAGGTTTTCCACAGAGGCAACCTCATAGAGAGTGATTACTTTGGCCTCGAGTTTCAGAACATGCAGATGAACTGGGTACGTAAACCGACAACTGTATGCGTTTTGTTTCCCGTTTGAAGTGAATATCCAGGAACTGACACGAAAGCTGATTATACAAGTCACTTAAGTATTGACCAGCGAAGGTAGACAAGATTTTAAAGGTCAAAGGTCACGGCTTGCCGACAGCAAGACTTGAGTCCGGGTCAAGATCACCTTTTGAAGTCATTCCTCTTCTTTAGCTTCTGACAGCGCACACGTGGAAGTAGTGTTGTTTTCACTGGACTTGAGCGGTATATAATCTGGGAATATTTTTAACTCGTCTGGCACAAGTGTCCATATACAAACGTCAGACTTTCCATTGTTTTATTCTTCCAGAAACATAAATGTAATTCAAGACCACCCAGAAGTTTTTTTTTTTTTTTGTAAAAGCAACAGAGAAGAGATATGAAACACATATCATCTTCAAAGACAACGGAGCCGGTGTTAGTAAGAGCTAAATGAAATAAACATTAACTATTTCAAAGTTAATTCCACTTGCAATTTTAAAAGAAAATCCCAATAGGCAACATATTAGAGCTGAAATGATGACAGCTGTTTTGAAATCAGTTAATTGTTTGAGTCATTTTTCAAACAAAAATACCAAAACAATCCTTTTTAATTTCTCAGTTGTGGAGAAATTCAGTGTCTAAGAGTTTTTAAAATGTTGGCGGGGCAAATTGCAGTTAATTTGACACCCATTTAGTTTTTTTTAACCCAAAGATATTCAGTGTTTGTTTGTTTTTTAAAGTAAAAAGCAACAAATCGTCACAAATGAGAAGCTGGAACCATCACGTTTGGTATTTAAATTATTGGTTAAAACTCGACAAATCAATTAATCCACTGCTCATTTTGGGCTGTCATTGTTTTTACTCCCAAGGTGGATGAGTAGCTTCACTTTTCCTGAGTTTATTTTGATGCCCTAACACACTCGCATGTGTAACTACAAGCTGAGAGAAGAATTTGGATAAATATCAGCTGATACCAATTTCTCAATTTATCCGTCTGGATTTAGCACATTGCTCCCTCGATCAGGCCCAGATGTAACAGAGCAGACTTCTTCTTAGAGTGAGTGAGGTTTGACCCGCATTATTTTCCACATGACTCTTACTATCATCCAGACACCGACTCGATGTAAAAACCTCTGTCCTTCACCACCTCGTTAAATTCTGTAAAAAGGTTTCTCAAAACATTGTGCAGACGATGCTATTTCTTTCTCTTTTTAGGTTTGGCTGGAACCCACAAAACCTGTTGTGAGACAAGTCAGAAGTGAGTGAGCTCAAATATTATCTCCAAGTTCCACGTTAAATGAAAATGTGCAGGTGTGCTGATGATGCGTTTTCATGTTTGTTTGTTTTTCAGGACCACCAAATACCTTATTTAGACTGTCAGTGAAATTCTTCCCCCCAGACCCGGGTCAGCTGCAGGAGGAGTACACGAGGTCAGTGACTGTAATTTCCTACTGGATATTACATTTATCTCGTGCCTGTGTAGAGGAGCTTTAGAAACGCAACTGTTTTTTGTTTTTTTTTTTACTTTTCAGAAGCTCACGATTATGATTTTCAGGGCGTAACAGTATTTGTCCTCCCAAAAATGTTTTTGAATGTTTTGTGTAGTTTTAATGCTTAGTGTCAGTCGGTGAGAAATCCATTTATTCATCCGTCAGTGCTTGTATCTATTTCCCAGAGATAATGAATCCATAATAAACTTTGTTCGTGCTTATTTACTTCTCATGAACACAAACAGTTGGACTCTAATCCTCTGTGTGTTTTCTTTAGGTACTTATTCTCCCTGCAGATGAAGAGAGATCTGATGGAGAGCAGGTTGATCTGCACGGAAAATACCGGAGCCCTGCTGGCCTCTCACCTTGTCCAGTGTATGTCTGAGCTGTTTTTGTATTATGTTTTATATTAATACCAAATCAAGACAATTTCTCTTTCTGCAATGACTGCATTGCAGAAGTGTGAAACAGCTGTAGTAACGCTGAAGTGGTTTGGGACCAGGCAGCTTAGTTTTACACACCTCATCCTCCAGCTCCACTGCACAAACCAGTGACCTCTCTTGATAGACATTTACGTTGATGTACAAAACTGACGTCACCTTTCCTCCTCCATCCACCACAGCGGAGATCGGCGACTACGACGACGTAGCGGACAGGGACTACCTGAGGGTGAACAAGCTGTTGCCTTATCAAGACAAGGTGCAAGAGAGGATCATGGAGCTCCACTGCAGGCACCTGTAAGTCGCTCCGTCTTTATCTGCACTACGTTTGTTTCTCATGTTTGGCTCAACAGAATGATGCTAAACAATGTAAATCACCTTGTAGACCAGTTTCTGTCAAATCAGTCTTTCCCTTCCCCAAGGAACAAAGTCCGGCGCCTCTTCCAGCTGATTCAAACTGTTAGCATGCCACTTGAAATACAGCAAAGTACAATACTAAAAAAGTGAGAGTACTGAAGTGAAAGTATAGTTTTAAGATGACTTTGAGAAGTAGAACAGAAAGTACTACAAGCACCACTTTGATAGAGGAACAAGAGTACTGTAACTGACTCACTCAGTTCACCGTGACGTGCACACAGATCAGGACGGTCACGGTCTGACCTCGGCCCCACGTAGGGCCACATTATCGTGGTTTAGTGCGGTTACTTCCTGCTGCGACAATGTCATGCAAACGCAAATGATCACAGCATAATCGCAGTGCCGCAAAAGGAAACGCAACACTAGTGAGAAGCACAAGCAGTGGGTGTTTGGTTTTTTTGGTAAATACAAAACGCACGTCTTCACCTCTTCAGTCTCACGGCAACAACAGCTCACTCAGTAGATGTTGGATATCGACTCACACAGCCTTCGTATGTGGTTTCGAAGGTTTGGAACATACCAGAATATACTGAGAATTTTTTCAGCAAGATGTTGAATGAAACCTCATTTTCGGATCCACACACACACACACACACACACACACTGCTGCTTCCAACCTCTTGGATCGTCTCAAGTCCAAAATTATGTCTCGCAAAAAAGCATATTGCATGAATCATGATTTTGGGGAATTTGTAAGCAGTGATACATCATGTCAGCTTTAAACACAAATGTTTAGTGTTAACTGTGATTAGTCAAGTCAACTGAGACAACTGTGTTTTCTTGCTAAAACAACTGTAATGAGGGGGTTTGTCTCATTTCAGAGTTTAGAGCCTCAGAAAACCGCTCGCTGCACTTTTCCCACCACCAGCCGCCTCGTTAGCGCAGCGCTATCCCCACAACCAATAGAGGGGCTATTTTCAAACCAGTGCATTAGGTGGCTCTGAAGACCTTTGCTAATCCCTTCCCTCGTTTGCCAGGGTGGAAGCACAAGCGGCAAGTTCCCCTGTCCTAATCCCCGGCTCTGGCTGGTCTATTAGCCATAAGGCCAGTGGGGCAGGGGAGGGCCCTAAGGAGATTTCGCTGCTTAACGGATGAACAAAATTAGAATGTGGTGATGATTGGACGGATATGTCTTCCTAACATGCTGTTTGGTTGTAATCACATGGTTTTTAGTTAATGCCTCTCCAATCCTCCTAAGTTATAAGGGATTTAAGGTCACACTACTCGACATACAAGTCATGATACAATCGTAGTTTGTTCGGATCGCATGCGGTTAATCAAAAGGAGAGTTGCATCGTGTGCCGCCGGGGAAACACGAGACTGATTTTATTGCATAGTACATCATCAAAATGTGCTCAAGGAAACGTAAAAGCTCAGCAGCCTGTTGATGGAGGGTTAATTAATTAAAAACAACAGCAACTTGTAGTTCCTGTGCTTTAAGTCAATGAACATGGACATTTAGATTGACTTGTATTTGAAGGGAAGTGTAGTTGTATATGACAAATACTAAAAGCAGCATGTGAGCAGCGATAATCCAGGACTCTGTAGGAACTATGAGAACGGTAACGATTATTCATGTGGCTCATTTCACACACAAAGACGGTCCAAATATTAAAAGTGATAAGTGCAGGATGTTTTAAAGTCAGTTCTGTCAGTTAGTGACAAACCGAGGTAAATTTGTTGTCTGCACAATTACAATAAGTAATTTCATTGCCTTGTATCATTTGGCCTAAAGGATCTGTGTAAGGTTAAATAAAGGAGGCTTAAGGATTTAGCCACGTCGCTCCGTTTGGAAAGTAGAAAGTAGTAGAAGTGAAGTTCCTGTTTTTGGAAACGAGTCTTGAGCCAATGTTGGACGGTGTCTAGTTTTCTAATCTGTTTATATAAGGTCAGCCATGTCAGCGGGAGCATAGGAGATCTAATTAGCCGAGACTGAACTTTGGTGTGAATCAGGAGGTCAAACTCAAAACCTCACCTGAGCCGCCCGTTTCCTGTGAGAACAACACGAAGAGGGACGTGTTGTTACTCACGAGTGTTTCACGGGCCTGTTACATTTTCTGCTTCAGGGGTCAGACTCCAGCTGAGTCGGATTTCCAAATCCTGGAGATTGCCCGCAAACTGGAGATGTACGGCGTCCGCTTCCACCCGGCGGCCGACCGGGAAGGCACCAAGATCAATCTGGCTGTAGCTCATATGGGCCTTCAGGTTTTTCAGGTGATTGCTGCCGTCACACCAGCTCTGTTTTGTGACTTTCAGTCCTTTTTTTTTAAAAAATGTTTTTGTTAAAAGTGTATTTCCTCCTCCTCCTCCTTTTTTTTTTAAATATGATTTCATCTCCCAGGGCACCACAAAAATAAATACCTTCAACTGGTCCAAGATTCGCAAACTGAGCTTCAAAAGAAAACGGTTCCTGATCAAGCTCCACCCAGAGGTTCATGTATGTATTAGTGATCAGTGTTGTTTGGAAAAAGACTCTCTGCCGGAGTTGGATGTTTATTTTATCCGCATGCTTCACTTTCCACATCCACTGACCAGCTTATTGTGTAATTTCGTTCTGTTTCATTTTAATCTTTGTATTTTTTTTTTATTTTTTTTTTTTTAGGGGCCCCATCAGGACACTCTGGAGTTTATGATGGCCAGTCGAGACCAGTGTAAAATCTTTTGGAAGATCTGTGTGGAATATCACTCATTTTTCCGTTTGTTTGACCAACCCCTCCCCAAGTCCAAAGCTATCCTCTTCACTAGAGGCTCGTCCTTCAGATACAGGTATTAGTCATGTCCATCTTTAATGCTCGGGGGGAGGGGGGGGGTTTCCTTAGTTTCATTATTCAGTGTCTAAATTCAAAACTCTTTCTGTCAGTGGAAGGACCCAGAAGCAACTTGTGGAGTACGTCAGGGAAAACGGTGCAAAGAGAACGCCATACCAGAGGTGTGTGTTTCCATCTATAGTTTATACTGTGTTTATCGGAAAGACAGGTTGTTTTCCTTTCTAATTCTTCCTGAGCGTTGACTGGGAAATGTTTCCACACCACATTTATCATCTTTATACTGACATGAGGTTCTCTGTTGTTCAGGAGGAACAGTAAAATACGAATGTCTGCTCGCTCCCTAGCAACAGATGTGCCAAAACAGGTCAGTGCTGATGCATTTGTGCGACAAATAAAACTATATATTTTACTTTATTGAATAAACTAATACAATTCTCCTTTCCTTTTTTTATTACTTTCCACTTTTCTTTTTCTCCCCTCACTGTTTCTTTCCTTGTCCCTTCTGTGTTGCATTGTTTCAGAGCTTGTCATTCAATGACAGTCTCAGGGCCCCAGGCTCCCCTTCTTCCGCTACAGTGTCCTTCCACCCGGCGCACATCTCTAGTGTCCTCCCACGAACAGAGCTCCAACCTCAGCCCCAGCCTTTGACCGCACTGAGCCACTCTCCAGCGCCTCCCCAGCAGCATCAGCAGCAGCAGCAGCAGCAGCAGCTTCAGTCCCCTCTTCAAGCTACCAGACCCCCCAGCCCACCGACGGAAGAACCTCTCAAGGCCGCTTCCCCATCCCACTTCGCTTTTCAAGGTGCCCCTAGCAATCAGGCAGCAGGACACTGCAGCCCCTTGTTTGTGTGTGTAGAGAGTGGCACTTCCCAATCGCAGCCTTCCAAAAATGGCAATGAGGATAATGAGCTTGGTGGGAGACGGGGACCCGGGTGCTCGGTGGGAGGGGGTGGAGGGAAGAGGAAGGGGGTTCTTACACCTGAGGCTTTTGAGGCGGAGCTCTTGCGTGCGAAACAGAGTCCCATGTTCTCCATGTCCAACTCGCCTCTGCATGTCACTGAGGAGTTCATAGATGACGATCCCACTGAAATATCCTTTTATGGTGGGGGGGCCGAGGCCTACTCTTATGGGCTCGACGATAAAGTAGACCAGTTTCACGATGTGGAGGAATCTGACCTCAGCAAAAACAGGATCTTTAGTCTGGGTATTGAGGATCTGAATGGTAATACCAATCCCTTCCCTGATAGCATTGTTGGTCATTCTGAGACCAGCTCCTTGGTGAATAACCGCTCCGAGTGCAGTTCCCTGGACAACCTGGGGCTCAGCTCTGCAGGTGAGTCCATGTCAGCGGGTTACGGAGGCCCCGACTCCTCCTCCCTTCGCCTGCCAGGCTCTGACTTCCAGTCAGAGGCCAGCTCAATGGTCAACTTCCCAGCGTACTCTGTGCGCTCTGACAGCAGCTCCGCTGTGCAGTTCAGTGACCTGGTAGAGCAGCTCGAGCAGCTCAGCTACCCGCCCACAGCCACTGAGGGCTCTGGGAACGGCAGCTCAGATTCAGACTCTGACTGGGGCTCTGACAGCATCCTTCCCCCTGAGCAGAACCTGTTTTACAGTAACCCCCTGACGGGGAGCGGTGGTATCGAGGGGTTCCTCCTCCAGTGTCACAACCTGCAGGCCCTGGCACTCGCAGACACCTCTGGATCCCCTCATATTAAAATGTAACATGCCCTTGAAGCACTTGAGGGCCTCGGTCCAGGGCTGTCCAATGTATAGAAAAAACTCTTTTTCCACATTGTAATTAATAATAATAATAAGCAGCAGCTGCAGCTACATGCTCTCATTTTTAGTTCCTGCTCCGTACTTTGGGTTTCTGCAGCAGCACTGTTATTTTTACTTGTATCAGAGATTTGACCTGTTGTGCCATGGTACCCTGCCATGGTCAGGTTGTGGTGCTTTTCTTTTTATTTTATTTTTTTTATATCACTCCTGTCTTCTCATGAAACTCGGCTGATCACGTTTTTGCCTCTTATTTTCATGAGATTCTTGAATAACGTCGTCTTTCTTTGTCTTTTTCTGTAGCACTACAGTCTATTTAGAGCAAATGTTGGTTAGGCCTTTGGGGCGTGTCCCTCTCAAACATTTCAGAAAATACAAAACATTTTGTGCTTCTTTTTTTTTTTTTTTTTTTTGGAAGCTTTATATCTTAAATACTCGTTTTACAGCCTTTAAAGCCGTAATTAACAAGTTGGCATAGGAATGTCTAGTTAGATTTTCAGTACGTAACAATTTAACTCAGGAGGTCAGAAAAATAATGTTCTGCGTCCACCTTTTTTAATTTGAAGGCCTGGCATTATGCTTTCAATTTAGTGAGACTCAAATACAGCTAATTAAAGGAAATCTGTAAGTAATGTAGAGGTTTTTACGATGATTTATAACCTTATTTGACCAATAAATAGGAAATCAAAGTACTTAAGGAATACTTATAACTATTTTATTGTTAGATTAATGTCTCTAATCTCAGGGTAAAAGTGAAACCAACATTTGTCCAGGTTCAGTGATCCTCCTGTGTTTTTTTTTAAAAAACAAAACAAAAGAAAGACATGCCATGGAGCCACACTGTGCATTTGCACTTGTGTGCCTCACTGACATCTGCTGGTTGAAGCAGTTGGAGCATTTTCACATCACGTCTAGTCCACAACACACCAAGTAGGTGAAGGATTTAACAAAAGAAAAAAAGAAAGTATTTCACCAACTAACATTTTTGCTTCATGTTTAGTGAAGATGAAGAATGTAAGCAGTGTACTAATGAGCCGTGAAGTACACTGTTAACACCACTCTATACAAAATGAATGTATCATCTTACCTGTATGTAAGGCCGTAGTTAACCATGTAAAATAGTGTTTGATACAGTAGTACGTCCTAATTATTATTATTATTATTATTATTATTATTATTAATGTTGGAATGTGGAGCGTCCAGATGTAGCGTTTGTCAACATTTCAAAGCATCAAATTTTCATCACTTCCATGAGACCCTTTCACAATAGTAGGTGTTAGTGGCTTTTGCAGTACCAGCAGTGTGTGTGTGTGTGTGTGTGTGTGTGTGTGTGTGTGTGTGTTGTAAAAGGTCGACGTCGCCTTGTCTCTTCTGGCCTTTTTTTTTTTTTTTTGTTTTTTTTTTTTTTAGCATGTTTCAGGGTTTTTAGCGTGAGCTATCTTCAGGATACCAACACGATGGGTTGTCTGTGTATTGGAAGGAAACGGGATCTTTTGCACATTAGCTTTGAATTTTTCATCACTTTTTATATTAGCTGATTTTTTTTTCTTTTTATGATGTTATTTTTAAGCTTTGATAAAGGAACGATTGTTTTCAGTCATGTGGTCAGTCACTAATATACGAGCATGCACACAGTTTCTTTTCTTTTCTTTTTAATCAACCACCCTCCAGGCGTCAGATTAGTCTGAGGTGTCAGATCGGGTCTGAGTCTGACTTCAGATGATCTCACTGTGGCCGTACAAACCTGAAAACCTAATACTGTGTTCGTATCAAACTAATCAGCAGCGTTTTGTTAGTTCACTGATGTCATTTCCTCCTCAAAACAGCCTTGACTCGTCGAGTCCCAGTTTTTAATTTCCTTTTTGTTTGAGCTCACTTAAATCTGCCTGAGGGGAGATTTCACTTGACTCTCTGCGAAGTTTGCTTCTTTTTTGTTTCTGTACAACGTTACAGAGTTTTGTTTTGTCAGCAGCACTTGCACCGCAGTGCCTTAAAGCACTTACTTTCACTCTTTTCATGCAATATGCTTTTATCTCAGGTCTACGTTCCTGTTTACTTTTTAATAGCTTTGGGATTTTCCCAGCAAAACACGTATGTGGGAGGAAAGGGGCGATCGAAATTAAGAGTTTTCCTCTTTAGCAATCGATAGACAGTTGATAAATACTCACCTGTTCTCATTGTCATTTTGAAGGATGGCACGTAGCCATTTTTATTTTTTCTTTTATAAAACAAAAAAACTAAGAAGGAAAATATAGAAACGTATTTTCCAGAAGTGTTTTTGTAATCTCTCTACAGTCACAAGTGTGGACAGTTGTTTTCTGTGTCACCTTGGAGATGATTTAGTTTCACACACCGTCAGTGACAGTAAACCATATAGAGATGTGATGAAGGGTTTGTCTTGATGGCTTTTTTTCTTTTCTTTTTTTTTTTTTTTTTACATTTTTGCCTTTGGTTTCTTGTCTGCCATGTCTCCCCACATCTCAACTAAAGACTTAATTCACAACGGGCTGACATTTATAACCAGCTAAGCTAACTGCACTTAGGCATCAAGTAATCATCACTTAATCCTGAACTTGTATATTTACTAATCATAAACAACTTGTACTTAATGTTTTGTATGTTTTCCTCTCAAGAATAAAGTAATCACTTTTGGGTACCATGAATGTCAGACTTAAAATTCTTTTTGAGATGCAGACTGAAATCATATGAGCAATGCTGATGTAATTCTTTACTGCTTTAACAGAAGCCCCGGTGGTGGAGGTGGTGGTGGAGGTGGTGGAGGTGGTGGTGGTGGTGGTGCACCTTCCTTTTTAAAGGCCAAATTTTTACCTCTTCCTCTGTCTCCAGACTAAACTAACTCGTAGCAGTGCTGGAAAAGGAAGATACACTTATATTATTAAGTATTGTGTATAATTGTGCAGTTTTATCCTGTTTTTGAAATCTGAATGAAAGTCATTAAAATCTGGGGTCACATGCTGTAGCAACATGCTGCAAGTTGTCTCTGTCGACTCATGAGTGCCCCACACTTTAGCCAGTCCTGCTCCTCCTAGAGGAGTTATGATCCTGCTTTAGTATGGAGTCTTCTTCAGTGTGACAACATCAGAAAATGAAGCCTGTATTGTCGACACACACACTCGTTTTCTTTCATATTTGAGGCAACAGACTCGTATGTTGTTGGGGTGGGGGGGGTTTAACTCATACACAAGATTCCTCAACCTAATTCCAGCTGAGTGTGTGTGTGTGTGTGTGTGTGTGTGTGTGTGCTCCCTGTTTGGACGGGCTTTGTGCCAAGTCATTCCACAGCAAACCCCCGTCCTCTGGCTGTGGAGCCTGACGTCCTCCCTCCTCTCCCCTCCTGTCATTCCCTGTGGGCTATTTCACATTGACTATAAACAACTATTTACCCTCCAGACAGGCCACATTCCTGATAAGTCTTTGCGTGAGCAATTATTTCCGGGTCGAGGACCGACTTTTCTTTTCTTTTTTTTTTTCTTCTTCTTCTTCTTCTTTTTTCCCTCTCGGCCTTCCCCATTCCTTTTTTTTTTTTTTTTTTTTCCTCGCTCTCTCTTTCTCTCTCTCTCTCTCTCTCTCTGTCTTTCTTTTTCCTCTCTGATAGAATTAGAAGAACAGCTGTGCTGACCTGTGACTCAGTGGAGAGCACAGCCTAGCGCTTCATCTGCTTGTTTTGTCTGCTGGTTTGTCGCGTAGCAAAGCTCTCAGGCAGAACAAAAGCAGCAGAGCCAGTTCTCTGAAATGGAATCAGGCTCATATAAGTCGGTAATGAATCATTTGTCCTTCTTGTGGAGGGCTCTGAAAACAATGGGGGTGTGGGGGGGGTGGGTGGGGGGGATGTGGGAGCCATTACTTGCCCTGGTCTGCTCTGTCGTCTCCACTTTCATTTAATGGCCAGTGTGTGTGATGAACCGTTCCACTCGTTTTGTTTTTTCTGTGAGAGGAAATGAGATAATTTTGGAAAAGCAGTTTAGGGGAAGGTGAAGGTTACTGTCGTGTATGTTTGATTTGACTGTGTGCAACATATTGAAGCTTCGTTGCAGATATGCTAAGTGTTGAGAGCATGATTGTTGACTTAAACTCCACCCATCGTAAAAGGATCATGTTGTTCGGGCTGAGTCAGTTAACCCTTTTTTTATTTTTAACTTTCCCAACAAGGCAGTTGATTTCATACAATTTTTTTGTATTTCTGTTTCCCCTCTTCCACAGATTCAGTGGTGGACAGCCCTCAGCTCTCACCCTTCAACACCAAAGGGCCCCTCTGCCTGTCGCCCTCCTTCCAGATGTCGACCCTCAGCCTGCCGGGCCAGGCGCCGTCTCCCCTGCAAAGCCCCATCCTGAGCGAGGTGGGCAGCAATGCCAGGCTAGAGGAGGAGGAGGAGGGCAGGAGGAAGGTACACTGCTTACATGCCACCCTTCCACCCCCGCCGCCTCACAACCCCCTTTTTTTTAAAGAGTAGAAATCACAGACCACACCCGCCTTGTAATTTATAATGGGATGGGATTTTCTAACTTTCTTTGTTCATATAATGGAGGGAAAATGAGTTTCCCTCAGGGGGAAAGAAAAAGTAGTTTAGTTTTCTCATAATGAATGTTCATCCATCACTCACTTTTAAAACTTTAAAACCTTTTCTGCTTCAGAGATATCCGACCGACAAGGCCTACTTCATTGCCAAAGAGATTCTGACCACAGAGCGAACGTACCTGAAAGACCTGGAGGTCATCACTGTGGTGAGTTGTCCTGGGTTTTTCTTTTTATTGGATTTATAAGACACAAATAATGTGGTCATTGTGAAGAAAATGCAGAAGCCCAGATTAAAGAACATTATAGATTTTTTTTGGGACAGTGTGAATCAAAAGCATTTTCATACCTATATTGTAAATAATGTAAAACCAGACATTATGTGAAAGTATTTCTTGCTTTACCCTGCGGCACTTCAAATCTGAGACATCAGAAAAGAGTGATCACTTTGTGATAATATCAATTTGTCACTTGTTTGGTCCAATCAACAACCTAAAACCTAAAAATATTTAGTTTACTGTCAAATATCATAAAGAAAAACAACAAATCCTCACAGTGGAGAAGCTGGAAAAATGACTTTTTTTACGATTCAACAAACTCACTGATCAATCAATCAACTAATCGTTTCAGCTCCAATGTTNTTAAAAGAGAACCAATAATCGAAGTCTGAAATAAAACACATTGAAAAAATAAACTTTGGTAGTAGAACCAGGCCCTTTTCAGTGCACTTTATTCAGTTTACTATAGAAATTAACATTAAACAAATACATACAAGATCCAGTTTCCTACATTTTCATACCTATATTGTAAATAATGTAAAACCAGACATTATGTGAAAGTATTTCTTGCTTTACCCTGCGGCACTTCAAATCTGAGACATCAGAAAAGAGTGATCACTTTGTGATAATATCAATTTGTCACTTGTTTGGTCCAATCAACAACCTAAAACCTAAAAATATTTAGTTTACTGTCAAATATCATAAAGAAAAACAACAAATCCTCACAGTGGAGAAGCTGGAAAAATGACTTTTTTTACGATTCAACAAACTCACTGATCAATCAATCAACTAATCGTTTCAGCTCCAATGTTTGCATACCAGTTTATTAATGAGGAAAACGTGTATGATTATCGCGCAGTGGTTCCGCAGCGCCGTGATCAAAGAAAACGCCATGCCCGAGGGCCTGATGACCCTCCTCTTCTCCAACATCGACCCCATCTACGAGTTCCACCGAGGCTTCCTCAAGGAGTTGGACCAGAGGCTGGCTCTCTGGTAGGTGCTGCCTCCATGTTTTTGTGTGTGATGAGAACGACGAGATGAGTAACGACGGCCTGTCTTCCTCAGGGAGGGACGCTCCAATGCTCACGTCAAAGGCGACTACCAGAGGATTGGCGATGTGATGCTGAGGAACATGTGCGCTCTGAAGGTGATTTTTTTTTATTTT